AGTATTTGGCATCTTCTTATAACCTTAACTGCATGAGCCGTTGAGTTTAATATAGTGCAGCTATAACAAAGATGATCTAATGGCCAGGAAACTAAAATGACAAGGCTAATACTACTTTAGGCACTACTGAGCAGTTTCCTGAATTGATTGAACTTGTCAGGAATCTGGCAACTGAACCTTACAAGCCTGGAGCCAGGTCAGGTTCATGGAAACGGCAGTAAAAAAAATTAAATGGCAGTAAAACTTTGTTTAAATAAAGGCCAAGGCAATTTGTATTTACACCTTTCCAGAATGCCCACAGCACCTCCCACCAAATGGCAGAAAGTCAATTACCACAATTATCACGTCTTTGGAAAATCCACTCCCTTATGAAAGCAGAAATGCTTGTCTGAGTTGCAAAGCTGGAGAGGCCCCAGCTGATTGTCAGGGTCAGGCCGTGCAAATCAGCTGTTAGCTCTTCACGGCATGACTCACACTCCAAAGTGTGCACTAAGGCATCTTCTGGCCTGTGCACCATCTGTGCCTGGCTGGTGGTTTGAGTCCACCCAGGGATGGCAGTGGGCAGGATTCCGGCACTGCAGAGAGTTGGACTAGATGACCCTTGGAGTCCCTCCCAACTCTACAGTTCTGTGATTCTATGACTCTAGTCTAGAAGCTCTCCAGAGGCAGCTTGAGTACATGTCCCATAGCTTTGTTGTAAGTATATCTGAAGGAGCATCTCCACCCCCATCGTTCTACCCGGACACTTAGGTCCAGCGCCGAGGGCCTTCTGACAGTTCCCTCACTGTGAGAAGCCAAGTTACAGGGAACCAGGCAGGGGGCCTTCTCGGTAGTGGCACGCGTCCTGTGGAACGCCCTCCCACCAGATGTCAAAGAGAACAACAGCTACCAGACTTTTAGACGACATCTGAAGGCAGTCCTGTTTAGGGAAGCTTTTAATGTTTGAGGCATTATTGTATTTTAATATTGTGTTGGAAGCCGCCCAGAGTGGCTGGGGAAACCCAGCCAGATGGGCGGGGTATAAATTATTATTATTATTATTATTATTATTATTATTATTATGGTTTATTGCTTGTAACTGATATTGTTTGGCCAAAGGCCTGACGCCTTTAAGCTCAGACCATAGCTTAGTGCAAATGTGTGGATTCCTCAATAGGAGCCTGAAGTTCTGGGGAAGAATCCTTCCCCAGTTCTGCTGCTGCCCTGATGTTCAGGACTAAGCTGAGGTTTCTATTACTATGTCGTTCAAACTCATGTTTGTGGTTTGTCTCACCAGAGATAAACCAAGTGCGGTAACCAGCCTTGGTTTGTAGCTGTTGGTTTGCCTTGAGGATGCAAACCTAGAGCCTGGGTTCAGGTGACAGTTTGGAATGCTCATGCATTCACGGAGGTACATACCACTGTCAGTTTCTCAGCCTTTCTTCTCAAATGGGCTTCTCAGCCCAGCTCCCAGCATGCACCTGACTCAGACTGACTCTGGCTCCCAATAGGGTTACCCGCCACCCCTATCTCCACGAGCGGTGCAAGATTCCAGGGGTTCAGGCACTTGTGTTTCCTTTTGGACAATGAGGCACACATTCACACTCACACTCCTTATGATATATGGTTTATTTACAGATATATACACACACACACAACCTGAAGAGATTACACAGCATTCACATCCCCAAGCGGCTTCCTCTTCCTCCTTTTTGATTCAAAGAACAGCAAAAAGCCATCCTCTGTGCCTCTCTCTTACAGCTAGCCCACTTCCTCTTCTGAAAACTCCCCTGTGTTCTTATGCCATCCACCCTGAAATCCCAAAGGCCCTTTTGTCTCTGGCCCTTCAACACACAGCTGGAGGAAGGGCCCCGCCTCTCCTTGTCTGGCAGTCTCTTTTGACAGCTCCCTTGATGGGCTATCACTGGTCTTTGTTTGTTAATGGCTGACACTCAGCTAGCCCTGCCAGTCTGGCCAGGTTCATTAACATAAGCTAAATCCAGGCATTTCCATGTTCGGCACAGTGTAACTAAAACCAGAGGCGTAGCTGGGGGGGCGGTGGGGGGCACTGGGTGCCACACCAAGGGGAGCAGGACTGACATGGTGGCTTGGATGCCTGCAGGCTCCAGGATGACCAAAAGGGCAATGGGCAGCTTGCGACTGCCCTCTGCCTCCCCTGGCTTGCCCCACCCAATGGGTGGCTCACTGATTAAACCTTGACTAATTCTAACTCTGACTAATTCTAAAAAATATGGGTGACTCGCACCCACAAGCCCTAGCACCCACAACCTATAACAATACATTTCTGTTGTGGTTGTTGTTTAGCCGTTTAGTCGTGTCCGACTCTTTGTGACCCCATGGACCAGAGCACGCCAGGCACTCCTGTCTTCCACTGCCTCCCGCAGTTTGGTCAAACTCATGCTGGTAGCTTCAAGAACACTGTCCAACCATCTCATCCTCTGTTGTCCCCTTCTCCTTGTGCCTTCCATCTTTCCCAACATCAAGGTCTTTTCCAGGGAGTCTTCTCTTCTCATGAGGTGGCCAAAGTACTGGAGCCTCAGCTTCAGGATCTGTCCTTCCAGTGAGCTCTCCATTTCCTTCAGAATGGATAGGTTTGATCTTCTTGCAGTCCATGGGACTTTCAAGAGTCTCCTCCAGCACCATAATTCAAAAGCATCAATTCTTCGGCGATCAGCCTTCTTTTATGGTCCAGCTCTCACTTCCATACATCACTACTGGGAAGACCATAGCTTTAATTATATGGACCTTTGTCAGCAAGGTGATGTCTCTGCTTTTTAAGATGCAGTCTAGGTTTGTCATTACTCTTCTCCCAAGAAGCAGGAGTCTTTTAATTTCGTGACTGCTGTCACCATCTGCAATGATCATGGAGCCCAAGAAAGTAAAATCTCTCACTGCCTCCATTTCTTCCCCTTCTATTTGCATTTCTAGTCAATGCTTAAGTTTCCTTCCAAGTCTGGCTTGCACATTCTATCCCATGCACATTCTAATGGTGCCAAATCTGGGGAAGCGATAATCGGTTAACGAAAAAGGTGGGTGGGTGGGAAAACCCCTTCAGTTCCTATGCACAGGAACATCCACAGACTGGAGTACCTCTGCCTTGACGCAGGTGCCTTCTCTGGAAGAGACAAAACCCGCATACTAAACGAATGAAGATATGTTAAAACAAATAGATGGGTAGAGAACGACACCTGTACTTTCAGATGGTTATTCCTAAGCGTTGCAAGGACCTCTGGCAAATAAAAACCCCCTTGCCCTTGCCAAGTCAAGCTTTTACATGTTGGGTAGCATAATTATGTGTTGGGTTTGTCTCCAGCTTTGCATAGTGTTAGTCAGCACACTGGGACATAGTTTATTGGTATTAATTGCAAGTTACAATCTCGCTGTCAAGAGCTCCGATTGACATTAATAGGAAACAATTGCATGGGACACAAAATAAAGAGCCAAGCCCGATCTTTCGGATCCTGACAGCATGTTCAGCTGTTTATGTTTTTAATCTGTGTTCTTTCCCTACAGCACACAAAGGCCTGAACAGTTAAGAACAGAGCACATTAGATTTGCCCCAAGAGAGGATGTCATTGTTGTTGGCTTTTTTCTACAAAGGAGAAACCCCACCCCACTGCCTTTGCTCTCTTTTGCTGGGAAACTAATTCAGTTATTTATCTTCTAAACACATCTCCCTTAGATCAGATTAAAATAGCACTGAAAAGAATGTCCAAAGTGAACTTCAACTAACCACTTTTAAACGCTGGGACACAAAGCACGTTTATTGCACAAATTCTAAAGCTCATATTTTCTGAAGCCTCAAGAATCTAATGTACCAAGAATCTAATGTACCATCTAACGCACCGATTCCAGATCTACAGAGGCACAGCAAACTATAGCACCTGCAGCCAGGAAATACAATTTTAAATACTGCCACTGCCGCCTCCATAAGAAACTCCCTGCAAAGCCAGAATCTGTATCCCTAGTCGGCAAATTTTCCAACATGCAGCTGGAGAGAAGCACCCTGTCCTGGTGTGCTAACTTTCTACTTGCAGGGAGATTTTTATATTTTAAAAAGTGGCATCTCTCCAGATGGCAGGCTGAAGAAGGAGGAGGAAAGAAAGTAAGAAGAGAGGTTGGATGCAGAAAAAAGAAAGAGCCATGTTGTCAGGAACCTAGGACAACGGCTGTGGCAGGGCACTGAAATTGATGCACAGGACTCTTAAGAAATTATCATGGCCAGTACACGAGAGTCATTTTCATACGGTGTATGTAACAGCTACAGCAATTAAAACAAGCACACCAGGTGTTGCATCCACTGGGTGCACTTTGCACAAGCTTGTGGCTTTTAATTCTGTGGGAGACATCTACAAAGGAGAGTGATTCTCTTCATTTCTGCACCTCCCAGAGCACCCTAAAAAAATCTGTCCAGGATTTGGTCAAGAATTTAAGCAAGATCTCAGAAATAGCCATGGGGCTCTGACCAGCAATTACAAACTCATTAACGTGTTTTCGCTGAGAGCCTTTCTGAAATCTGGGGCCAAGAGCGCAAAAAAAAAAAAAAGTACAGTCAAACCTCGGGTTACAGATGCTTCAGGTTGCGCGTTTTCGGAATATGGACGCACCGAAACGCGGAAGTACCGTAACGGGTTACTTCCGGGTTTCGGCACTCGCGCATAAACACTAAATCGCTCTTTGCGCATGCGCAGAAGCGCCAAATCGCAACCCACGCATGCGCAGACGCGGCACTGCGGGTTGCGAACGTGCCTCCCGCACGGATCACACCTGCAACCTGAGCGTCCACTGTACATCAAAAGTGTATCTGTTTCCGATGGCAAGGGCTCTCCCTCTCTTCCACCTGAGTTGCTCCTGCTCTTTAATATAGGTGAGCACAGAGAAAGCCATTGAAGTGTTTCTTATTTTCAGTGCTCAGATACCTTCCAACAACATTCATTTGTTTTTATTTGTATGCTGCTTTCCCACGCAAAAAAGTAACATGCTCCAAGTGGCTCACAACAAACTCAATAGCTCAGCTAGTAGAGCACAAGACTCTTAATCTCAGGGCTGTGGGTTTGAGCCCCACCTTGGGCAAAAAAGATTCCTGCATTGCAGGGGGTTGAATTAGATGAACCTTGTGGTCCCGTATAACTCCACGAGTCTGTGAACTTCTATGAACTACAATGAAACAGGGTTGCGTTTCAAACAAACACTGCAAAAGCAATTTCACAGCAACATAGCAAAACAACAGCAAATACAACAACAGACAGAAAACCCACATTTCAATACTATAAATATAACAAATTACTTCATGCATCATTCACTGGCGAAAATAGCAAGGGAGCTTCACAGTTTCAAAGCAGCATAGTTTTAACATGAAGAAAATAAAAGTGGGAAGGAAGAAGGGAAATACAGCAGGGGGGAAAATGATAGTTTGATAGTAGGGAGGTTCTGTGTATATACCTTGCACACAGGAATTTTGCAAGGCATCGAACACCCCTTAGAGATGTGGACCCTGACTAATGTTTAAAAACCAGAGACCCCCAATCTCCTACTACGTTGACCAATAAAAAGAAACCAAGGTACAACACCGGATAAAAGAAAAAAGCAAGAGCAGAAGAACTTCTGGCTAGTCTGTGCGAGAATCAGGCCCTGTTAACCATGAACCCCCAATTTTGGGATCCCCTCCAAACCTTTTGGGTGTTAACTATGAACCCCATGTTTGATATGTCAATTACTCAGTTTGTGGGGTGTTGCAAAACAAATGCAAAACTTTGGCACAGGTTTGGAGGGGATCCCAAATTTTGGGGTTCATAGTTAATTATCCTTGAGCGAAAGCACGTCAAAGTGCAAGTAGATAAATAGGTACCGCTCTGGCAGGAAGGTAAACGGCGTTTCCGTGTGCTGCTCTGGTTTTCGCCAGAAGCGGCTTAGTCATGCTGGCCACATGACCCGGAAGCTGTACGCCAGCTCCCTTGGCCAATAAAGCGAGATGAGCGCCGCAACCCCAGAGTCGTCCACGACTGGACCTAATGGTCAGGGGTCCCTTTACCTTTACCTTATCAGGTAGATGCTGGTCACTTCTTAATATAATTTAACATTCTCTTCTTGCAGAGAACCATAACAGGAGCAGTTTGCTTTGACCTGGCATTGCTTCTATCATGCAAAATCTTTTGGTTAGAGAACAAACACCATTGTGGATTTTTTTATATACTCTTAGCAGATATATATATATATTTACACTTGGCAGATACACACACACACACACATATACCCAAAACAAATTGAACTGTTTCATTAGCCAGAAATATCTCAGATAGAGACAGCCATAAAAATAGATTGGTTTTATAGCAACCAGCACAGACAGAGAAAATTACGCTACATAGCGAGTGTTCGCAAGGGCTCTGTGGCAAATCACCTACTTTTTCATCACAGGAAAGGTGAGATTACTCCAAGGCAAATGCTAGGTGGGCTGCCGCAAGCAGCAGGAATGACTCACATTATTGCTACCTTGCCTGTGTGCATTGTGTGCTGCTGCACAGCTAATCCCCAGCCCTTCATAAGGCAGCCGGCGTATCGCACAGAGGGGGTAAAGGAAACAGGAAATAGAAAACAAGGCAGAAGTAAATCCACAGACTAATTGTTTCCCAGCAGAGAAATATCTCTCGAGCGCCGAGGAAAGAATTACCCCAGAGATCTCAGAATATATTTACCTTTATTTATACGGAAGGAAAGATATACAAGGGTTCCAATCAGATGGGGATGAATCACAACACTCCCCGCCAGCCTTTCTTGTGACTGGGCATGAGAAAGACTTATGAATGTGCCCCTTCCTTGCCGGTGCTGATTCCATACACATTGCAGTCAACCCGTAACTGCAAAGGGGAGTGGGGCAGGCCCCTACGGGCTTAAGCCAACCACCTAGAGGTGCTTCTCTGAAGGGGGTAGCACTTCCACAGCAGCAAATGAAGTTCTCTGCCCTCCCAATGCTGCCTTGGGTTCATTTCCTGTATGAATTGTTGACTTAGTGAAGACACCTCAAGGGGATCCTGCCACATACCTTAATCACTCCCTTTCGCAGTGATCTCCATACCCTCCAACATTCCTTGGATGAAAATAAGGACATTTCTCGCTCCCCTCCAATTGACCCTCTTCAGACCCCCACCCCACGCTCACAGAAGAAGGGCAAGTTCAAACAACAACAATGGGACACAGCACACACGCCCTCCAGTGTCTTGAGAAAACCCCTTAATCCTGATTTTATTTTATTCTTTGGTTGTCAGGCTTCGGGGAAGTGGCTTCCTCCCCTGTGGCAGTAAATAATAAGATCAAACAAAAGGAACGTTGGATTCTTTAATAATCACAGTGAGATTGCGTCTTGCTAGAAATGGTGGTGCTTCCAATTAAGGCTCACCCTCCTCTGTCCCTATTAATCTACGCCACTCCTACGTCTTGTAATCTGAGTTTGTACCCTCTGTGCTTTTTGTTCTGAGACTTTCTGAGCTCTTCTCGACCTTGGGGAATGCTGTCCAAGGACTGTGAATCTGTTAACCCTCTCTCTCCCAGTGTTTCGTCTTCTAGCAGTCCCCCATCCAGTCTTTCCCAGCTTCTGCCTTCTGAACTATGCCCCTCTGCAAACCACTGTTCCAAATCTATGCTGTCCTCCTGTTCCTGGGAAGACTTGGGATCAGGGGGAGGAGGTGACCCCCATCATTCCTCCTCAGTGCAGCCCTCCTCACACAGTCCTTGACATTGGTAGATTTACAAAACAAGAAAAACATACACCAATAAATAAATTTTACAAAGGGACAAAATTAGATGTGGATGCACGAAGCATTTTTTTAATATATAGTGGTACCTCTGGTTGCGAACGGGATCCATTCCAGAGGCCTGTTCGCAACATGAATAGAACGCAATCCGCAGCGGCGCGTCTGCGCACGCGCGGGTTGCCGCTTCTGTGCACGACGTGATTTTGTGCGTCTGTGCACGCGGTGAAACCCGGAAGTAACCTTTTTTGGTACTTTCAGGTCGCCGCAGGACGCAACCTGAAAAAACGTATCATGAAGCAAATGTAACATGAGGTATGACTGTATAAAAAAGCAAGACTCCTTGTGCTCCACTCCACTGTGCAACTCCTTTCCAGCTCTCCGCCTGCCCCTCAGAGCGGCCGCATCATGCAGAGCTGGGCCTCCATAGCAGCAACCTCTCCTCCTCTTTGCCTGCTCTGCCCAGCAAAGACCATGGAGAAGCAATGGGGTGCTCCCTTGCCACCGCCACTCAGGATAAGCACCAGCTCACCCTTCTCCCTGATCTCAACAGCAGCAGCACTGGCAGGGGAAATAGGAACATTCCAGGATCAAATCAGAAGCCATTCTGAAAAATGGGAAGACTTGGAGGGCATGCAACTCCGGTGGTGAGTGCTGATGGCATTGTAGTAAGACAGCCTCCCAGAGGTACCATTGTCAAAACGGTGCAAGGGGCCACGCTAATATACTTATATTTTAGGAATTATTGCTGGGTGAGGAGGAAGAGCAAGAAAACCCAGTTTTGTGTATGATTCTGTATGTCTGGTGCTGGGTTTGATTCTATGACTTTTTGGGATGATTTTGCAGTAATGTACATGAGCTACCTTAGATGAGTTTAGTTCTTCAGGGCTCAATAAATTGCATCCTAGGGTACACTAAAGAGATTTGCTAAAGCACTCTCAGAACCACAATCTTATCGTCTCTGAGAAATCCTGGAGAACTGGTGAGGTCCCACAGGACAGGAGGCAGACAAATGTTGTCCCAATCTTCAAAGGGGAGGGAGGGGAAGATCTGGAAAGCTGCAGATTGATTAGTCTGATTCCGATACCAAGGAAGATACTAGAACGTATCCGCCAGGAATTAATTTGTAAGTATCTCGAAAACAATGCGGTGATTAGCAGGAGCAAGCATTGGTTTGTTAAGAATAAAGCCTGCCAGACTAACCTTATCTTTCTCTCTCTCACTCTTTTATCAAGTTACTGGTTTAGTGGATTGCAGGAATAATTTATCTTGAGTTGAGCAAAACGGTTAATAAAATTCTCCATTGCATTTTGTTTGGGAAATGGTTAACTTTGTCTTAGATTATAATGTGTTCAAGAGTGTTCAAAGCTGGTTGGAAACCCGAGCTCAAAACGCTTCTCATTAAACCAGGGTAGGGAATTCTGAACGGAGTGCTCAGGTCACACCACCAGAACTCTGTTTCACTGCAAAATGCTGCAAAAGTGTTGACAAACTTTGCCACGGCTTTGGAACGAATCAGACCATGTTGGGCTTTGGGGTGATATCTATGACCCTTGGGATTGAGTATCAATTACTCAGTTTGGGCGAGTGCTGCAAAACACAGAGTTTTCGCTGCAAAAAGACTTAATGAAGCTGATCCCCAGGTAGGTTACCACAATTTAAAACTAAATATTAAAAAACAGTTAATTTACAGCAACAGGTTCTGAGAACAAATATCTCAGGCGTCAAAGGCCATGGAAAAAACCTAGATCTTCAGCATGTGGTGGAAACTGTATTATCAACTTGCCAGATGCACCTCTGAGGGAAAGGAATTCTGCAACCTAGAAACTGCCATAGAGAATGACCTCTCTTCAAGGCAACCACCATCCCAAGCTTCCGAGGGTGAAGATACCTCCAAGAGGTATCCTTCTGCCGATCTTAATACCCAAGAAGTTCTCCAGGGAAGGAGGCAGTCTCTCAAACATTTGGGGTCTGAATCGAGCCTGTAAAACCAGCTGGCAACCATTAGGGGAGCTTCTTGAAAGTGAGAGCAGTTCAACAGTAGAAAAAATAATAATCAGGTAGGTGGCGGTCTCTCCCACGTTGAAGGACTTTGAGCAGAGGCTGGAAAGCTATCAGTTGAGGAGGCTCAACTTACAGCTGTATTGAGCAGGGGGTATCATACTCTACAGCTCATGGGGTGACCTTGAGCCAGTCACCATCCCTTAGCCCTAACCTGCCTCACAGGGTTGCCATGGGGATAAAATGGGGAGGAGGAGGTCCATGTACACCACCTTGAGATCCTTGGAAGATAAAGGTGGTATAGGAATGTAACAAGTAATAAAATATTCTGCTGGTGAAAATCAGGACGAGTGTCATCTGGTGCTCCTATGTAGGACAGGTGGCTCTTGTGAGAATGTAGCATTGAAAGACATGGCTGACTCACACGAGATTGTGGCACCACTGCAAGCCCCAGTGCTGGCTGCAAGCTCAACCTCCTCCCCAAGCTCAGTAGTGGCAGTGATGGAGAAACGGGACATTCCGGTATCCAATCAGAAGCCAGTACGGCTTCTGTAATTCTGGGATGTCCCAGGAAAAGCGGGACAATTGCAGGGTATGGGGTACGGGCTAAGTGACTCGACAGGTCCCCTCCAACTCCCATTATTCCAGGAGAGCACGGCTATAATGTGCTCATACTGAAGAACGGGCAATATTAACCAAGTGTGACATTTCATAGCATCACTGATGACATTTAAGGAATGATACATGAAATCAACAGAGGTGACAGGGAACGAGAGAGATACCAAAGTTCTTAAGAGTTACATTTTGCAGTTATGTTTGTAATGGATTGCGCAATCAGAATATTACAGAAGAAAAATGTATTTATTTGTGTGTTGTTTTTAAAAAAACTGTTCATCATGAAGTTATTTTTTGAGCCAGTGAGAAATCAGCTCTGGCTCTTTCGCCCCAAAGCTGACAAGTCTGAGGTATTATCAGAAGGATTACAGCGAAACGTTAGGAAGAGAAGCCATTCCCTCGAGGCTGGCTGTCCCTTTTTGTGAATTCCTCCAAATTCTACCCGAAGCTGCACATTACCACATTGGCTTGATTTCTCCCCTGCCTCGGTCGCGTTCACTGCACTAAAATAATAATAATATTTTTTTAAAAAAAAGAAACTGCTGTAAACCAATTTTCAACTAAACATTACAAAAACAAAGCCTGTGCCAGTATTGGTAAACGAATCATAAAAATTAATTGTCTTGCAATGAGAGGAAAGGACTCTGTTAAGGAACCGAGTGGGGCTCCAAGCCGTGAGGACTCTGCATGCCCTAAAGCACCACGGAAAACATTATTACTCCAGAAGCTGTGAAGGCTGGCTTGTGAGGGGAAACGTTCACATTATCACATTCATAATTCATTAAGAGACTATTACAAACGCTCCCCCCAAAACCCCCCCGAAGAAGAACTAAACAGCAACATCAAACCACTGCCTGCCAAATGATGCTTGCTTTACGAATGCAACAAACTGTGCCAAGTGCTAAATTTGTTCACCCTGATCCCGCTCAAGCAGAGACAGGGAAGCTTCGTCCTTCCAGATGTTACTGGACCACAGCTCCCAGCAAGCCCCAGCAAGCATGGGCAATGGCCAGGGATGCTGGGGGTAGTAGTTCAGAAACATCCGGAGGACCAAAGGTTTCCCACCCGGAACTAAGTAGACACATAATGCAGCTTTGGGCGCCATTTGTCCGCAGTGCATTGAGAGCCAGCGTGGTGTAGTGGTTAAGGGTGGTGGACTCGTAATCTGGTGAACCGGGTTCGCGTCTCCGCTCTTCCACATGCAGCTGCTGGGTGACCTTGGGCTAGTCACACTTCTCTGAAGTCTTTCAGCCTCACTCACCTCACAGAGTGTTTGTTGTGGGGGAGGAAGGGAAAGGTGATTATTCACCGCTTTGAGACTCCTTAGGGTAGTGATAAAGCAGGATATCAAATCCAAATCCAAACTCTTATTCAATGAAATGCGCATGTGAACGTGTGTCTGCATCCTGGTGCAACAAGCTGTGTACTTGTTGTATATAAACATCCCTGAGGGATAGCTCAAGTTGGCAGAGTATGAGACACTTAATCTTGGGGTTGTGGGTTCGAGCCCCACGTTGAGCAAAAGATTCCTGCACTGTACGGGGGTGGACTAGATGATCCCCAGGCTCCCTTAAAACTCTACTATTTTATGATATTTTAAAGGGAGGACGTGGAGTTGGATCAAGGTGATCAGATTCAAAGAAAAAACCCATGGGTGGAAGGAAGGAAGGAAGGAAGAAAGGAAGGAAGGGATGCACAAATGGATTTTAGGAATTTGGCTAGACAGATAAGTTTCATTCCAATCCCAAGCCCAAATGTGCCCAAACAGTATACCTGGGCAGGCAAACATTAGCTTGCTACATTCGTGCTTACATTTTTTTAATAGACATTTAAAGAAGCATAATAGGTTGGATTCAGTGATAGAGGAATAGAACTCTGCTCACCCAACAACTGTTTCCTGCGTCCCTCACAGCCCCCCCCCAATTCACTCCCAAGGGCCAAGGGTATTTCTTACATTAAAGGTGACCCAAAAAAAGAGGCCATCTCATAAAAGAAGTCAAAATTTCTGAGCACTCGAGGATCTTGAGGAAGCAGGGTCCTTGATCACATAAGATACAATCAACTGCAAGTAAAAGCTCCCTGCAATTATTCCCTGCTCGACCCATGGAAGGTCAGTGACACAGCAGACAAGGGGGCAGAAATTGCACAAAGACCCCTGTGTCCAGCCTGCAGATATGACAGTTGCATGCTCAGGCAAGCCCAAGGTAGATTTGTAATCATGTTGAAATTGACTCTTAATGGCTAACTAGCGAAGAAGTGAGCCAAAACAAATTCCCCGGCAGTTGAGCCACGCACAGAACTTCCTTCACGACAGAGGGGATATGGGCGAGATGGCACATGCCCTGCTTGTCACACATATTGCAGATCCCTCCTAGTCAAAGGAAAGGCCAAGCAGCCTCTTTCAGCTTGATGGAAGGTCCCAAACGCTGAGCTCTGCCCTGTGAATTTATCCTACAAAGAAAATTTTGTGTGTGTGTGTGTGTGTGTGTGTGTGTGTGGAGCTCTTGTCCTGTGGACTTAAATGGGAGAGAATGTCATTCTGGTCAACAATGTGCATCCTGAAATTTTATGTATTTCCTTTACTGGCCAAAGGAAGATATAAGACTTCCTGCTTAAAGAAAGGACAATAAACAAGACGTGGTTCTTGGAATGGGTGTTCTAGAACGGCGCTTGTGCCTATTACAGCCACAGAACATCCTTCCAACCTTGGAACAATAAACACCCGTATGCATGATCCTGGCTCAGCTCTTAAGCTGTCAGCTGGATGTGACCACACACCAGGAAGCAAATCTTCTCGTTTCTTCTTCTTCTTCTCCCTGCCTAGCCTTTATGCCTTTTTAAAAACAAAACAGCAACATACCGCCACTGCATTTCCTGTGCTTTGTAGGTAAACATGGACAACTGCCTAACTGATTTGTAACAAAGCTTGTGGCACAGACTGGGTGAGACGAGGCTGCTAAAATTAGTGCCTTGGGGTGGTCAGAGTCACAGGAAATGGGACGCAAAACCTAAGTAGGCCAAACCGATGTTTCTTCCACTACGCTATGCTCTCTTATGAAAAGAATTAGGAAGACATCTGGTTTGAGTTCCAAGGGAAGATGCTGGACTCTGGAGATGTGTCTATGTGTCTGTTTGTCTGTCTGTCTGAGACTGGCTGGAAAATGTCAGGTCCTAAGGCTCTGACCTGGGTGTATAGTATACTTTGGATATCTGCATTATGAGGGTGAAATGGCGAGGGCATGCAGCTGCTTTCCAGTACAGGTCAAATCATATTAAAAAAGGAGAAAGAGGATTTTAAATGCTTAGCCAAAATGGCTTTCCTTTCTCCCTGCCCCAATGCAATTTTCCAGGTCATGAAAGGGGGGAGACTGGGGCTCTATAGAATGACTCCACGCCATGATGTAGAGTGCTCTGGAGAAACCAAAATGGCAGGCATGAGCCAGGAGAAGGAATGGCGATATTTTCTTCCCACCTCCAAAATTCACCCCTACCTTCAAAAAGCAGGTAAACCACTTTCATCCCACCTCCTTTCCCATGAAACAGCTGCTATTTCTAAATTTAAAAAATTAAGAACTTTCAGACTAACCCTAATTTGAATACCTCCTGTCCCAAATGATCAGGGTTTACATGATTTAAATTTTATCCCTTTCAAAATATTGGGAGACAGCTTGGGTTGAAATGGATAGTCTTATTACAATGAGTTACAAGGAATGAAACAGTGGGATGGTTGTGATATAGCTGCGATTTGCCCGGAACTTTTAAGTAATTAAAAATGGGTTAAGCGTTCTGACTTGGTTTGGGATGAACAATTGTCATCATCATCAACAACAAAAAGACCAGAGGAAATCGAAAGAGGTTAAGTGTTCTGCTTGTTTCGACCAATCACGTCTGTGCTCGGAGTGAGGTTTGTAAAGTTATTATTTCAATGGACCATTCATAATTTAATTTCAAATATTGGCTGAGCTGCGTGCTTGGGTTGAGGGAGAGAGATCAGGTGTGGTCGAAGGATGCAGATTAGCATGTCAAGGACAAACACCACCATCTAGTGGTATGTTTGGTACCACAAGGGGCAACGTCAATCTAAACCTTCCATTCACCTACTACAGTGGTACCTCGGGTTAAGAACTTAAATTCGTTCTTGAGGTCCGTTCTTAACCTGAAACGGTTCTTAACCTGAGGTACTACTTTAGCTAATGGGGCCTCCCGCTGCCGCCGCACGATTTCTGTTCTCATCCTGAAGTAAAGTTCTTAACCTGAGGTAATATTTATGGGTTAGCGGAGTCTGTAACCTGAAGCGTCTGTAACCTGAGATACCACTGTACTAGAAAGGCCATTGGGATCAATAGTAGGTTTAGGGGACCCTTTAAATATTCCTTAGTCATGGGCTCCAGCTGCAGAAGTATCTAAAATAAAGCCCATGTTGTGTCAAACATATTGTACAAGGTGAAGCACAGTTAAATGTATTTCAACATTACAACATGCTGCCACAATGATCTCAACTATTGACCTTAATTGACTCTACCGTTGGTGTCAGTTACCTGCTGCATCTTCAGAGTAGCTTCCTTTGATGCCTTGTGTGGTGAATCTGTGGCTTTCCAATGTTGCTGGACTACAACTCCCATGATTCCTGACCATTGCCCCTGCTGGCTGGGGCTAATGGAAGTTGGAGTCCAAAAACATCTGGACAGTTACAGGTTAGCTACTTCTACCTTCTGTCTTCACCCATGGAACATTTAGGTATCATCACATGCCCCATACCAACAAATGTTGCTGTCTGTTCTTCTAGCCTAGGAATTGATTTTTCCAATGTTATTCTGTAAAGGGCCATGTAAACTGAGTAATAATAACAACAACAAGTCTACGAATGGATAATGGTTAAACAGGTAATAAACATTATGTGTTCTGGGTCCAAGAGAATGCTAACCTTCTGCAATAATACTCACAACATTTACCCAGAGGGTAGTTCAGTTTGTAATTACGTATTCTGGCTTGAACATCAAAAGCAAATGTTTCGACAGCCACTCACAAATAAACCAAATGGCAAACCTGCTACCTGATCAAGTTGATGCAAATGTAGCCTCCCAAAGAGGAGATGAAAACACAATGGGCAACTGCTGGATTTGATTTGGAAGGAATTTATTGGTGACTGGCATTTTGGAGCTCCTTCTAAGAACTAACTGTGTTGTTTGGACACTCATAAATTTCACCCAAAAGCTATGGTTACTAAGACCCACCAAGAACAATGGGACTTTAGTAAATCAAGACTAACTTAAGGCCAACTGATTTCAAAGGGAATTGCAGGTGATGAGCCTGCTCTGGATCAGGGCCATACTTACACACTCCAAGAAGCATCTGGCTCAGTCAGTGGCATAGCACAGGGGCAATTGCCCCAGGCGCAAAATTGTTAGGGGCACAAAATATCAACACCCGGTGTTGAAATACAGCTGCGCAATTCTGTCGGTGGGTTCCACTGAAAACGGATTCTCCATGTGAACCACGAAGTGACCTCTTCAGACAATGGAATAACTCTTCTTATATCTGTGGCTGTGATCTCCTGAGGGATGTGGACATTGTCAAGCAGTTGAATGTGCATGCGTACTTCGCCCATTTTGCTTCCATCCATCCAGGACTATGGATGGCCCCGGGCACTGGCAACCCATGCTACGCAAATAGGTTCAGGTGTGGGGAAGGTTTGGCCCTAAATGTAGTCCCCCAAGCCTCTCCAGAGTCCACATTCCATTCCCAGCCACACCCTCTCCAGGCTCTGCTTAACACCTCCCATATGTGTTTTGCCTGACTGGAATGTGCCCTTGAACTCTGATCATGGTTCTTGCTTCCCTGGGTGGAGGCTAGAGTAAGTGTAGAAACGAGTCCGCTGTATAAAGGTAGAAGCTACACCTGCTGCCCTGCCCATTTTTGCCTCTGGCACCACCCAACATTGCCTTGTGGTGCTGGAAGGTTGCCGAGAATGGAATGTGGTACCCTAGATCCTGAGTCAGGATATTTTTGTGTAAAACGCCCCTATCTTTAACTAGCTTTTTCCAGGGCAGAATATTCTACATCTGTGCAGTCTGTGCATTTAGTATGTAAGCCTGGAAGCCCCTATTAAGACATTGCTCTGGATACAAAATAAATCCATTTTGCTGCAAACTTAAGAGAAAACTATTGATTGCTGAAACCTGACTCTCCTGCTCCTCCCGCCACGCCATGTGTCTGAATAATCAAATGGCACAATGCATTTTTGCAGATTTTGTCCTGGAAGGATGACAAATGTTTAAAAAATGGCTCAAAGGACTCTCACACATAGATGGGCTATGCCAATGAAACGTCAGAGTGAAATCTGACCACAGCGTTCTTCAAAGGAACAATTCTCCACGTATGCAGCCGCGAGACTATAAACATTACCGGATTGTCCATAAAATCTATTTGGAAGAATTGAAGTGCTAGCAAGCTGGCAATAGCTCCATCCTGCCAGACACCTAGGTATATTTCTTTGTCTTTCTTTCTTTCTTTCTTTCTTT